GCGCGCGCGCGCGAGAGAGAGAGAGAGAGAGAGAGAGAGAGAGAGAGAGAGAGAGAGAGAGAGAGGTGCGCCCCGTGGAGTGGAGGGAGGACCCTGCCACCACCAACCAACCAATCAGTCAATCAATCAATCAATCAATCAATCAATCAATCAACCAATCAACCAATCAATCAATCAATCAATCAATCAATCAATAAATAAAAATTAGTCAATCAATTTTTTTTATTTTTATTTTTGTAGTCTTCGAAATCCACCTCCCCGTTTTCGAAGTTTTTATGTTTTGTTTTTTGCGAGGAGGTAGGGGGACCCCCCCCGACTTGAAACCCGTTCCCCGCCCCCCAAACCCCCTCCTTGATCGGCCGCGGCCTCGGCCGAAATTATCGGCCGTGTTCGGCCACGGCCGGGGGGGGCCCGGCCACGGCCACGACCGAACTCGGCTGCGGCCAGGGGGTAACATAGCCTTCTGGTCATAAGGTCGTTGTGGCCCTCCAACAACCTATCAATTACCCTTTCCACGTCGAATCCTTCTTCTAGTCGAACCGCATACTTTTTTTTCTTGGGTAACACATCGCGAAGGATCGGTTCGGTTTCCTCTCGGGCTTCTCTCTTTCTAATCCTTTGCTCCGCCCTCTGGTCTTCCTCTTGGCGCAACCTTCCGTCCCCTTCTTCCTCCTCGTCATCATCCTCTACCTCCATAGTTTTTTTTCTTTTCTCTTGCTCTGGTTATTCTCGAGGAGGTTCCTAGCTTGCACTGACCTTAGCCTGGCCTCGAGTATGAGCGACTTGCGTCAGTCTTCCTTGCGCCGTAGGAGGTCTAGTCATCATCCCTGACTGCGGGCCTGATCCCACGGTAGTTATCCCGGGTCGCCCTGGCATCGATTCTGGGTCGGACTCGTAGAGGAAGACTTTGGGAATGCTAGCCCTCCATTCCTTCACTTCTTCACAAAGGTCTACCAACTTCTGTTGGTGTCTCCCCACCTTTCCCCTCAAGTCTTCCATCTTCCCCAGCAAGAATGATGCGGACTCTACTTTCTCTTCCTCATTTTCCTCCTCGGACTCAACGACTATGGGTTCTTCCCTTATATCTCCTGCCCATAGCCTCTGAGTCACCTCCTCATCACTTTCCCACTTCTTCCATCCTAATTAGTGGATCCTCCTTCTCTTGCCACAATCTGAACGTGGCAGGTGGCGCTTGTCGTGCAGCTACCCTTCTTTGGGCTTCTGCCCTCACTCCGCCAGGAACCTTCCTATCAATATATTCCCCGAACTAATCGTATATATCGTCGTCCATATTGGAGTAGATCAGTCCCACTCTTTCATCTTCCCGCCTAGTATTGTAGAACCGTATGGTATGACCTTGTTTGTCACAATGTTGACAAATGGCGGTTCTCCAATCAAAACGGGTCCTCCCGCTCCCCTGGCTCCCTTGACTACCTTGATTTCCCTGACCTTGGTAACCTTGGCTGTCCCACCGACCTCCTCGGCACCGCCATTTCTGCCATGTCCTCTTTCACCACCTCTCCCTCCATTCCCCTTATTACCCCGACCCTGATTACCTCCACTAGCCACACTACCTTGTGAACTAGGTGCGGGCGATGGAGGTGGCGCCATGGGTTGGGTCTGAGCGGCGGGATAACTTTGAGGCGGCATGCTTGCTTGGGGCCCGACGTATGGTACCATCTATCCGGGCGGAGCCGGACTTCCCCATGGTAAAAAAATATTGTACATAGGTCATGGTCACTGCTCGAATGGTGGTACCGGTACTTGCGAGACTACTTGACGGAGCCAATATGCTTGGCGGTGCGGCACCTGCCCGCGTAGCGCTGTCGAAAGGTGTTGAGGCACATACTCTTCTTCTTCCCACTCTTCTTGAACAGCTTCCTCCACCACTTGATCCTTTCCTCTTCCTTGGACCGCCATCACTATCTTTTTTGTATTACCACATTTTTTCCATAGCCCAGTTCCGCCAGTATGCCAGTGACAATTATTCTTACTCGTGGGGTTCCGGACGCTGTGGCATCCCTCTCCTTCCTCTTACGCCTTTGCAGGCGCATCTCGTATTGTTCCACTTCCTCCATACTTCCCTCTGCCACACCTTTATCAATAGTGGCCCAAGTGAGTTTCTCGTTTCCTCTTCCATGGCTCGTCAGCTCTGCAGCCTCTGAGGCGGTGAGCAGCCACAAAAAGATAGTGCATTGGTCTTCCTCTGAGATGCCATGAACCTTCCTTTCCTTCTTCTTGAATTCTTGCACGAACGCCCCCACCGTGGTGAAGTCGTCTTTGTTCATGGCCTCCAAATCCGACGTGGTTAATAGTCCATCGCCTAGCCTATACTTTGTCTGCATTCCATCTCTGAACCTTGCCCAACTACCATTGTCCGCCCTTATAACTTTCTCCACCTCTTGATGGTGGACATAGGGCACATACTTCAGGATGTTCTGAAATTTCACCTAATCCGATTACCCCACCAAGGCTTGCTTCACTAGGTCCAACCAATCAGAAACTCGCTCCCCATTGAAGTGGTAAGTATTGATTTTGGGGACATTACTTGGCATCCTTTCCGGCTTATCCATTGCCTCAATGAGGTCCTCGAGTGTCAGGACCTTTCCCTCGCCATCTGCTATAGGCCCTGACATTTTTGCGGGTTGTCTTTTACTCGCCTTTCCCTGTTTTAAGAAAAACACACCACCTCATTCAACATTCTGATCCTATCATGTTCCACATCAGACCCCTACTATAACTAACCCATGGTCCATGCCTAACAGGTCCTACCCTATTTCCATTCCCATATAACTTATTTTAATAGGCCCCATTTCTCCCCATAGGGTCTCCCCTATGACCTTCTTGCCCAAACAATCAATCAAATCAGAGATATAACTTATTATAACGGTTATTTTATCACAAATAGCCTGACAAGACATTATATACTGTCTTTCCCCATATGCCTATTTTCTCCCTTAATCTTATACCCGGACGTCGTTCCACCAAAACACAACAGTAGGCTTCCGTTATCCCCGGCAACGACGCTACCTGTCGAGCGCATCGGTCCGACACCGCACGAGGCAGCGCGGGACCCTCCCAGCCACGTCACGCAGGAGTTGGTTTGTGCCTTCGTCGTGAATATACATGGAGCTTCCGCAAAGCCGCTCTGGCCGAGTGCGCCAGCCATACCTCTTGCGAACCCCTACGACAGGATAGGGCCTACGCGAGGTACGACTTMCCTCCMCCTTACGGGAGCTGTCMCCTCCCTGCGGTGGGCGTATCCCCGCCGAGCTATCAGTCCACAGTACGAAAGCTAATCAGTTGCAATCGCAGAGGTCGACCAGCTGAGGACGCTTCTCGTTCGTTGTAGCATAGGGGGTATGCGTGGTAATACGCCTCTATTGAACCCGCCCGCGAACCGACATCTTGGGGGGTTGAAGTCCCAAGCGCGACCCGTCATTGGTCGAGTAGGACGCGTCCCACACACCATGAGCACACCACTATCAAGAATATAAAAATTAAAAACACACACTCACATATATCTACCCGAAACGACACAAACAAGCAACGCGACCACGCTCCTAGTCCCTCGGTAGCCGTCTCATAACTTTCCGATGCGAAAATCAGATAGGCGTTGCGGGCGAGACTTAGTATAAAATCGTGTGGACGCAGGGTTAACTCATATTGACTCGCAATGCAAGCGTACGCAAGCAGTCGCAATGATGGCGTACTATGTAGTGCCCATAATCAAGCGGTCCCCCGTGGATTCGAGTACCGCTTATGGCACTCAGGTGTCAGACTCGAAGTATCGTGAGGGCCTACCCTCTCACGATATTGCACGGCTGAAGAAATAGCGATGCGGCCGTCGTGAGACCTCCGACCTTTACCCTGGGTGCCTCGGCAGGCAAGGCAAATAGGCTTTGCCTGAGGGGTAATCCCTTTCATGCAGAGTCTAGGGCCTGGGATGTCCTGGACAAGGACCTCGAATCCAGGCCAAGGACCAACGTCTGACTAAGAATTCTTCAAGAAACATGCAAACAAATTGAGGGATCTTCCTCCTTTTCTCAATCTCAACCCCTAATTAAATCCTTTGTACGCGGGCCCCTCAGGCCACGCGAACATCCTACATAGGTACACACACACACACACACATATATATGTATACATATATATATACATACATATATATATATACATATATATATATGTACATATATATATATATATATACATATATATATATATCGTCACAAACAGAACTGCGCGGTAAACCGTAGGCAGAGAGAGAGAAGAGGACAACAAACGAGGGGCTCTTACAAACTGTTATATATCTATATATATATATATATATATATAGACACACAGGGTCACCAGCCCGTATGTACGGAGGTCCCCGGGCACACCTCCGCACGTACAGGCGTTCGGGGTCCCGTACGGGGTCCGAACCCGATGGCAGTTGGCCCCCGCCAAAAATTATTTCAGGGCCTAAAACTAATTTTTTGTTTCTGATTTTTTTTTTGTGCGTTGTCTTTGATTTGAGGTACATGCCATTAAACTTTCAACGCATTTGGCTAAGCCAAATGAGAATTAAAAATCGCCAAAGATGGCGGTGTCAAAACGTGCTCGCCCACCTATTTTTTCACTTTTTACTTTTCGTTTTCACTTAAGTTCGGGGTTTAAACAATTTTATTATTTTTTGAAACTTTTTCAGTGGGTTTTGTATTATGTGAAGTACACACCGATAATTTTCCAGGGCATTTATCTATGCCAAAAAAATAGGAAAAATCGCCAAAGATAGCGGTGTCGAAAACATGCTCGCGCACTCACTAAATTTAATTATCTTTTCATTTTTATTTATTTTTTCTATTAGTATTTGTTTTCCGTATTTTATTTTTATTTCAAATTTGGTAAGGAAATTGGATGTGATGCTCAGGCAAATCTTGTTTAATTTATTTTTCTCCATAACATATATTTTTTGCCTAGTTTTTTTATGATTTGTTTTTTTCTTTTTTTTTTGGTCCGCGTTTGGCCCGTCCCGAACACCGGTTACCCTGTATATACATATATACAGGGTTATATGACTGAACGTTAGGGGGCTACGGGCTGGCCCTCGAACGTTTGGGCGTTCGGGGTCCCGTTCAGGGACCGAACACCTCCAGGTTCGACCCCAGCCAAAAAATGTTTCGGGGCCTAAAAATAAGTTTTTCTTTCTGAATTGTTTTTTGTGAGTTTTCTTTGATGTAGCCTACAAGTCTGTAAATTTTGAAGCCATTCTGCTGAGCCAAAAAAACATTAAAAATCGTCAAAGATTTAGTTTTTGAAAATAATTTAACGAGTTATTGATTATGTAAACAACATATCTGAAAATTTTCAGGCCATTTGTCAATGCCAAAAGATAATTAACAATCGGCAAAGATGGCGGTCTCGAAAAGGTGCTCGCACACTCACTCATTTTAATTCTCTTTTTATTTTTTCTTATTTTCATTATAGTGTTTATTTTCTGTATTTGATTTTTAATTCAAATGTGGTAACGAATTTGGATGTAATGCCCAGCCAAATGTTGTTTAGTTTATTTTTCTCCATAATATATATTGTTTTCCGATTTGTTTGAAAATGTTTTTTTTTTTTGTTTTTTTTTTTTTTTTTCCGCGTTCGGCCTCAACGGCCGAACATTTTCCGAAGGGGTCCCGTACGTTCGGGCATTCGGCCCGTCCCGAACGCCGGTAACCCTGCATATATATACAGTTTGTCAAAGCCCATCGTTTGTTGTCCTCTTCTCTCTCTCTGCCTACGGTTTACCGGGCAGTTCTGTTTGTAACGATATATGCTATGATTTCGCTAGCTTCCTGCTACGTTTTTTTCCGGTCAGGTCGAGCGGCAGTGGTGAGGGCCGTTACTAGGCAGCCATGTTGTGCCTCTAGTGCCGGCGACGTGTCTGGAGTGTATTTTTTGGCTGTGACAGACCTTTCTTTGTTTCGTGGATGTTTTGTTGGCTTGTGATGGGGTGTGAACCGACAGTCTGTAGAGTTTTCCATGTGGTGTGGGAGAGTGATAGTCTACTTTGATTTTGGTTAAGGTAGATTATCATTTACAGTGTTATCAGTGAGGGGATTCTGCAGACTGTTGAGGGTTCAGCCTCCTGATGAGTCGGTGAAACTTCGACAAAACAGTTTGTCACAGCCCCTCGTTTGTTGTCCTTTTCTCTCTCTTTGCCAACGGTTTACCGGGCAGTTCTGTTTGTGACGATATATCGCGTCACAAACAAAACTGTGCGGTAAACCGTTGGCAAAGAGAGAGAAGATATAT